GCCACCCCATGGGGAACACGCTGACCTGTTGCGTGTCCCCCAATGCCAGCCCCAAGCTGGGCCGGGCCACGGGGCCGGCGGAGCCGGACTACGAGTCTGAGATCTACAAGGCGGCGGCCGGGGACGCCGTGGCCGTAGCGCCGGCACCCGCTGCCGTGGAGCCCGCGGAGTTGGATTTCGGAGCGGGCGAGGGCCACCACCTGCAGCACATCAGCGACAGGGAGATGCCTGAAGGTAAGAGGCGGCGGGCGCGGTCCGCCCTCGGGCGCACCTCTGGCCTCCGCCGCCCCCAGGGTCCCTCGGGAGGCACTGGCCGCCTCGGGCTCCTTCCTGCCAAGCTGGGCGCCAGGAACCCAGGCTGCTTCTACCTCGCTCCCCACCCTGTTCCTTGCCCCCGCCTCGTCCGGCCAGTTTCTTGCCCTCCTCCTTAGCTTAACGCCAATTTCTTGCTCCCTCTGCCCTCTCCCCTGTGCCAGACTGGGATCCTCAAGTCCACGGTCCTTCCTGTTAGGTCTGTTCTTCGTCCCGCAGGACTTTATCAGTACTTCTTTGTATATTCTCTCCTCTCAATAAAAACGTAAATACCCAACTTCAGAGTATCCATCCTGCCTCCCTGTCTTTCCTATCCAGATGGTACCTAAGTGAAGGAGCCAGGTAAGGGCCCGATTGTTTCCTCCCTTCTACCCGTGAAGGTAGGCGAAACCCGGGACGACTGAGACCCAAAGGTTTGAGGAGTTCTTAAACTCAAAATAGAAGTTGCCATAGGAGTCTATCTGGTATTCCTACGTAGGCTGTTTTAAGTCGTCTCAGTAGGAACTGCTTTATTTTTTTCCAACTATAATTTAAACGTAGAAGCAAAGAAAATTGGGGGTTGAGGGAGGGCTGCCTAAAATAACTGTGAAAGGTATGAAATGTTACTGTCAGGCTGCAAGAAAGCTGTGTTGGCCCTACGAATTTACCTACAGAGTTCTGATTGTTTTCAATTTCTCTCTTTGACACGCATGCATCTCCAGCTCCTCTTGGGTGGCTTACCAGACTTGATTTACCTTGCAAGATGTAAGGAGAGATGAGGCTGGTTCCTGAGAGTGGTGGTCAGAACTTTCTCAAGAGAGAAAACATGAATTTAGACTTTAATTTGTAATGTGTAGGTTTGGGAGTTCAGTGGCAGACCCTGCCTGCCCAAGAGTCCTTGTTGCCATGGCTCCCCTTTTTCCTTCTGCAGATGGAATCCTGTTTACCTCTAAGAATGTTGAGGTAAAAGTTCTTCAGGTTCTAAACCGCTGTTTGGCAGAGGGAGTGATAAGGGAGGACATGTTTCATTTTTTCCCCTCTAGAATTTTGGAAAGGGACAAATCTAGGTAAAAGGAATTCTGGGTAACAAGATGGTTTTTTCAGTGAAGACTAAGTCCTTTGAATTAGAAAATAGAAAACATTGTAAAGGTGTAAAGTGGGGTCGACCCATTTGTTTCATTAAATACCAGAGATTATTTCATTACTATGGAGGAAATATCTTACGGGTTGTCTTCCATTTCAACTTCAGTTGGGGTCTTAATTTCTCTAAAACTTCGACTAGGTTAACATCATCATGGTTGTATGACTGGGAAGAACTCAGTTTTCAGAATCTTCAAAAATTGTGCATTGATCATACCTTAAAGCACAGAGCATGTAAATGCTTCTGCTCTGTGTGGTGGTTTAATGTAAACCTTGGAGTGATTTTTACAGAACAGTATGTGAGGATGGTGCTGGGGAAGAACCCCCAAATAGGATCTTTATGTGATCCTTTAGGATTTATATCACATTTTCATCTGCATCTCCTTTGGCCCTTTTAAAGACAAATACGATCTGTGTGTATTCTCTGTAATACTGATGAAGAAACAAAGACTTGGAGACCTGAAGTGAGTATCAGACTGGTACTGAACAGAAAAACTAAGTTTTTCTTAACTCAAACTTAACACAGAGGTGGTAAATCCAGTTCTTAAAAAAAAAAGTCTTTAGAGTGCATCCTATAGTTTACCCATAATGGTAGACCTATCTTTTAGAACTTAATCTGGTCTTGGGACCAGCAGATGGTGTAATAGATACACCTCTGGACTCCTGCATTGTGGACTATAGTTCGAGTCCTGGATCCAGTGGTTTAAAAAAGCTCATGCTGGGCGCATGTATGTGTGTGTGTCCCCAAGACCCCAAGAGGAGAATGGAGGAGAAGGGATTGCAGCGTGGCCATCCCCGCCCTATAGCAAAAATCTCAAAAAGACCAGCAGATGGTGTAATAGATACACCTCTGGACTCCTGCATTGTGGACTATAGTTCGAGTCCTGGATCCTGGTTTAAAAAAGCTCATGCTGGGCGCATGTATGTGTGTGTGTCCCCAAGACCCCAAGAGGAGAATGGAGGAGAAGGGATTGCAGCGTGGCCATCCCCGCCCTATAGCAAAAATCTCAAAAAAGAAAAACTTATCTGGTCTTGATAAGTTACATTCAAAGTTTATTTTACACAACTCAAAAGCAACATTTACCTGCATTGTGTGTCTGTACATTGATTGCAACTGGTAAGAATAAAGGTAGGGTGTGTAGTGATTTACACTTACCAGTTAAGTACATGAGTAGATACATTTTAGAGTTTGTTTTGGTAACTCATTTGAAGCCAAGAAAGTCCTGGATAGAGGAGCTTTAGGAGAAGATGGCAAGAAGGCAGGTAAGGTAGCAAGCATTATGGGTAGGACTAAGGTAATCATAAAAGTTGAAAAAATAGTTTGTGAATGCAGAATTTACTGTATTTTGTTTATTAACATGACAGTTAAATATTAATTTCAGTTTGTCTTAAAGTTTTTGGGGGGCATTGCATAAAGTAATAAGAGAAACCTCAGTTTCAGAAGTAATGTGTTACTTTTTCCAAGTTTCCATAGAAACAAGGTCAGAACACCAAATATAAAGTATAGATACATTGAAAGTTTGCTTTTAATATCATTTCAGACAATTTTATGTCAGTTTCCCTGGAAACGGAGAAATACATACTTAGATATAAAACATTTTAACTTTTCTACAATGAAGTTGGCCACTTACACAAAATCATATAAACAGTGCTTTGCTTTGTTCTTATTTTCTGAAACATTTTAGATGAAAATGATTTCTTTTTTTTTTTTTTGAGAGATTTTCACTGTAGGGCGTGTGCGCTCGCCAGACAGACAGAGAGACAGAAAGCGAGAAATCACCCCCCAGGGGGGATGGTCACGCCGCAATCCCTTCTCCTCCATTCTCCTCTCGGGATCTTGGGCACGTACGCACATGCGCCTGGCGTGAGTTTTAAGCCACCGGGTCCAGGACACGAACCACGGTCGACTACGTGGGAGTCCAGCGACATAGCCATTACGCTAACTGCTGGTTCCCTGAAAATGATTTCTTCAAGCCACTTTAAGAGGTATTCCATGCCAGGTTGTGGCATTGGTTAAGGATGCTGGACCCACATGGCCAATTGTGAGGTTCAAGTCTTGGGTAAAGAATTGACCAGGAAGGAGGGCTGTTTTGCGTGTAGTGGTGAAGGATGTGCAAGCAAATCCTGAAAGGAAAACGGAAGAAGGATTAGGGCACGGCCAACCCCTCTGTGGGGTGCTTTCTGACTTTACTTCTCTCTCTCTTTCCAGAGAGTGCATGTGCCCTATAGCAAATGATCAAAAACCAAACCAAAACAGAAATTTCTAAGAACCTAGTGTAGATTCAAATATGTTTCCAGGTGCCTTGCTTTTTACCAATATAGCCAATGTAAGTTACAACAATGTTGGTAACACAAAATCAGATACTAATATTTTAATGTTCAATTTTATGATCACTCAACTTTTTGTATAGGCTTTTATGTTCTAGCAGCTTTGCTGCTTCACTGACTACAGGTGAAGTGGATCTCAAGTGATCCCATCATCCCCCTCCCCCTGAGGAGTGAGGGTAGGTAAGGAATTGGGAGTATAGTGTGGAAAAATCTCTTGAGCAGACAGCTTGTTCCTCTTTCCAATAGCTTTTACCTTTTTTTAGCCTTCCTTTTTTTTTTTTGGCCATGACATGTTTGTACTTGCTGGAGAGATGGGGAAAGAGAGGAGAAGAGAGACAGAGAGAAGGTAAGAAATCACCCCCCCACCTCCCCACCCCGGAGCATGGCCATGTTGCAATCTCTTCTCCTTCATTCTTCTCTCAGGCTTTTGGACACATGCATGTGTGCCTGTGTGATTCTCACGTCTCCAGGTCTGGGGCTCTGCAGTTGACCGTGTGCGAGCCCAGCGCCCCAACTTCTGTGCCACCTGTTGGCCCCTCCAACAGCTATTTTAAACCCCCTCATTTTTCTTTTTAAATAGGGCATGAGCTTGCCAGAGAGAAAGAGAAAGTGAGAGAGAGTTCTTGACAACTAGAAAGTGCTTCAGGATGTCTTTCCATGGTAGTGTACACTGTCCTCTGCCTTTTAAGAACTACTAAATGTACCGTTGAATGGTTGGAGCATCATTTATTTACCTGCCCTTTATGACTGAACATCTTTTATGGTAAAATCATATACAGTCTTGTAATATGTGATTCTGAGAACACAGGAAAATTTTTATCTCCTGACAGAATTCAGATGGAGAGCTGGTCCTGTAGCATAACTGTTAAGCACTATGCATAGAGAGTGAGATCCCACATGACTGACCACAGTTCAAATCCTGGCTTCAGTGACTTGAAAAACATGCTGGATACATGCATGTGCATGTCCAAAATCCTAATGAAGATGGAGAAATGGAGGGGAAAGGCTTGTGGCATGACTACATCCCATTGGGGAGGGGGACTTTCTCTGACTTTACCTGATGAGTATGCACTTCTTGTGGCTATTCAAAAAAAAGAATTCAGATGGTATATTTTTCTTGGGACTTAAGTCCATAGGGTGAGTCATTTTGTAGCTAAGGTATTTTTGCATAACATTTTCTTATGTAAAATTGAAGTTACCATTGACTTCTCACTGGACACTAGAATTCTTAGTTTAGGAGTATTGGTTGTCAACATGTGTCTAATTCTGAATGCTTCTAGAGATCTGAAAATAATGCTGTGCTGGGATAACACATCCAAAGATAGTGTTAGAAGAAATTATAACAGATGTGGAAAACTGAGAGAACCTTCACTAGTTTCGGGTACACTGAAACATGGTTATTGAGCACCTTTGGGTGTCAGGGCAGTGTTGTGGATGCAGGGCAGCAGACAGTGGTATTGAGACAGAGTCCCATC